AATCGCAGGTTTCTTATCTATACAAAATTCGCTTATGAAAATCGGAATCCATAGCAATCAATTTTTGTACCCATTTACTGAATATATGCCTTGCTCAGTGATCGGGTGGCGTTAATTTTTGAACGTTTTTGTTTGGCCGTCGAAATACGTTTAGTCTGTTTATTTATGTTAAAATTGCAAGCTAAACTAAAGATAAATCACTCAAAAGCTGTCAAAATGTATTGTCAGCTTAAAGTTCTATACCCCAAAAAAAGAGTACATTATATTAGTTAATTTATGCCTCAGTAGTTTGGTCACTTCCTTATATATTAATTTGCTCCATTTTACCCAAATACAATTTAACAGGATCTATTGTTCGAGTTCCCGCAACAACCCTAATATAAGACCAGCGAAGACCGATGGGAAAGTTTACAACTAGCGAACAATCAAACAAAAACTGCGTCCCTTTGTGAATTGTATTTAAACGACTTAAATGGTTCTTTGCTTTAAGAAGATTAATTAACCCTGTAAAGGAGTATTTCAATACAATTTGCCTTGGGCCGAGCTGATAGAGGATTGTTAATTAATAATTGTGTAGGAAGGGAATGTTTTGCTACTTACAAAATGTAATGCTATAATCAATTTACTAGACATATACTATGTAAACAGTAAGTCAAATAACTCGCTATCCTATTTTTGTAGATCGATGTTAAATTCTTTTCAAATTTAAATTGCTTAAAAGGTAGTGTTTTTAAGTATAGTTTAATAATATTAACCCTTTTTAGCCACGCTGTGCTCTGCTTTCATACTCAATGTTTTTCAGCTCACCAACTCAAAGGGATTTTTTCTCTTAAGTCATTATTCTAAATCTATGTTATCCAGAAGCCGAATTGCCTCAATATCCAAAGATTGACCACATATTGTTCTGCTTACTACTACTCACCCTGATAATGTAGCCAAATTAGGTATTGCAGTAATAATCAAAGAAAATATTATGCACTATCGGGAAATGGGATATAGAACAAAATTTTTTCAGGCCAGATCAGTAAAAATTAAATGTAAAAACTATGAGGTAATGGTCACAGCGGTTTACAATTCGCCAAGACATGCCATGTAGATTTTCTGACCAGTCAAGGACATAGATTTATCCTTGGAGGAGACTTCAATGCAAAACATACGCATTGGGGGTCACGACTGACTACCACCAAAGAGAAAGAATTTTTAGAAGCAATGAAATACATAAAATGCGACGCAATATTAAGAGGAATGCCAACATACTGACCTACTGACACAAATAAAATCCCAGACCTTATCGACTTCTTTGTAGTCAGAAATATTTCAACAAATTACATAGAGATAGAAGAGGCATTGGATATGAACTCGGACCATTCTCCAATTATTCTCATACTCAGTGATACTGTTATTACAAAAAATAAAGCCCCCCTAGCCTTGTTAACAAAAATATTGACTGGAAAAGTTTTAAGATAGACCTTGAAGAGAAGATTAACCTCTCAGTTCCATTAAGAACCGTTGATCAACTAGAGTCAGAAGCAGAGTTAATCGATAAAAATGTACAAGTTGCTTGGAACAACAGCACGAGCAGTGCCAAAAAAATAAAAGGAAATAACTACCTGAAAGAAATCAGAGAAATGGTAACCGAAAAAAGGAGTGGCATTAATCTAGAGCACCAGTTGATAAAACTAGATTAAATAATGCCACACAAAAATTAAAAAGGTAAATTTAAAAAACTAAAAACGAATCGGTTAGAATCTACCTAAGTGAACTATCAAATGATAGCGCTACTGATTAGTCATTCTGGAAGGCTACCATCATAGCTATCTTAATTTTATTCACTGCCACCCTAAAGAGCATACTTGTATCAACACAATACCAATCTCGCAAGTTCTTCAACCAGGAGGTTCTTCTTCGTCCTGGACTGCGTTTGCCTGGTATTTTTCCTTGCATGATATTTTGTAGAAACCTATATTTGGGACCTCTCATTACATGTTCAAAATACTCCAGCTTTCTCTGCTTGATTCGTTTTATGATCTCAGTAGTATTGCTGAGACGTTCTAGTATTGTGAAGCCTCAAATCTTCTCCACCAATGAAACTTTTAAAATTCTTCTATAGCACCACATTTCGAAAGCCTCAAGGCGATTTAGATCGATTTTATTCACAGTCTAGGACTCGAAACCATAAAGTAAGGCCGAGAATACATAGCAGCGAAGTAAGCGGATCCTTAATGCCTATTTTAGGTCTCTGTTACATAACACCTTGGACATCACTCTAAAAGCAGCTCTAGCCTGCTCTATCCTAGATCTAATTTGGCCGTGACTTTCTGCGTTACATTTTAATTGCTATGCAGGTAAACGATTTTATCAACTTGCTCAAGTTTGGTATTATTTACATATATGGACGGTTTTATATGCTGTTGTTTTCTTATTACGAGTATTTTGGTTTTCAGTATGTTCAGATTCAGACCTGCCTTCCTACAACTCTCAACGACAATATCAAATAGTGTTTGCAGATCTTCTTGACTAGAAGCTAGAAGTACTGTATCGTTCGCATATAGCAAATTATTGATGACTTCACCATTCACAAGTATTCCTTCTTGTTTTTTAGAAAGTGCTTTTCTAAAAATTCTTTTAGAGTAAACGTTAAAAAGCAGGGGTGACAAGAGGCATGCTTGTCATACTCCTCTTTTAATATTGAGAGCCTGAGATTCTACACCATCTACTAAAACTGATGGTGTTTTATTCCAATATAAATTTGCTATTATTCGAACATCTCTGCCGTCCAAGTCAATGTTGTTTATAGCTTCGATCAATATAGAGTGCTTAACACGATCAAATGCTATTTGGAAGTCAATAAGAACAGTATATGTCTACAGACATATCACGACATCTTTGAGCAAGTACGTTTATTGTAGATACGACCATGTATTACCTTCAGAAAAACTTTCAATAAGTGGTTTAACAAACTGATGGTTCTATAATCAGCACAGTTTTTGCTGTTGTCTTCTTAGGTAGATCTATAAACAATGCATTAGACCAACCATTAGGTAGTTGTCCGCTTGTATAAATGGTATTGAAAAACGAAGCCATAGCCTCTAAAACATCGCTATCATTTATAAGCTTTTATATATCAGTTTGAATTTCATAAGGACCAGTTGCTCTGCCATCTTTTGATGATTGTATGGCCTTTATAACCTCAAAGCGGGTTATTAGGGGTCCGTCGCAGTTAGTAATATCGGGAGGTGAACTACTCCTATAGTCTTCGAGTAGGTTCGTGACGTAATTTTCGCATTCTTTAAGTTTGTCCTCTACTTCAAATATTACTTTACCATTTTCATCCTGTAGCAATGCAGTGTGTTTCTTATTGAAGATACCAGCCGCTTCCTTCACTTTTTTATACATGTTAAACGTTCATATCTGTAACTCTCCTTTTTGCTTAATCAAGACTACTATAATCAGATAATCAAACTGATACAGCTCTTTACTTAATATTTTAACTGAACAGAAAACAAATGTAATAACATTTTTATAGAAATCGAAACGACATTAAACAAATTCTTGCGACCCCTATAAAAGCATTTCGCATCGAAAACAATGAGTAATCTCTCATAAACCGAAATAAACATTTCAATTTACAATTCCGTTTCAATTCTAATTTAAACACTTTCGACTGTTGGTATTTTATTATTCATAAAGCTAAATGAACGTTTGTAAACGAAATTCAAGCTAAACATATAAAACTGTAAAACTATTACATAAAACGCTTGATGAGGTATAAAATCTAAATGTAAATGCCGAAAAATTCAATTTCACTATAAAAGCTTTGTAAATGTTAACGAAGTATTTTAAAAGAGCTTAATATAGACGTTTTTGCCCAATAAAACACATGCAACATGTTGCATTATCAATCCATTTTTACATATATTAAAATTATTACAATTATTAAAGTATTAAAATTATATATATATATATATATATATATATTATATATATATATATATATATATATATATATATATATGTATATATATATATATATATATATATATATATATATATATATATATATATATATATATATATATCGTCGTTAGGAATTAAATATCTCCAATGTAAAAATATCCTAATTTTACAGGAGACACAAAAAACAGTTAAATAACGCTATTTTATATTGTATTAAATTAGTAATTGATTTTTTTGGCCAAACTAAGATTGATATTGATATTAAGGTGAAATTGATTCCTTAAATCAGTACAAAACATTAAACTAATAAAACAAATATTACAAACGCGCACATTGGAGAAATTATAAATGTTTGAACTGGTACATAGCAGGAATTTCAAATATTGTGTATGGCATGTCATAGTACTATACACCTTGAATTTGGTGGTATTAGGGAAAAAAGAGTCATATAAACAGTAAAGTGATTTGTACTATCTTTATTTTAAATAAACAAACTTCGACATGTAGTATCAGTGCATGATATTTTTACGAACACCACCGAACGTATTATTTTTTGTTAATTTTAGGAAGAGTATCGTAAAAGTGATGATGATCTTTTTCAATAACTGATTTGAGGTCTTGCAGATGTTTGAACTTGTCTTCTGATATTTCAGGAGGTGTCTTGAAGAGCGAGTTTTCATAAACCGACAGGTCTTGGCTTTCTCTTCTGTGTGGTAGTAGCTTCCAGTTATATGAGTAATCAGTGGTTTAGTATACCTATATATATTTTGGGACTATATTTTAATTGTCTTATATCTACAACTTATACGAAAGTTACTATCAATAGCGTACTTTTTAAAGAACGTAAAATCTACGTTTTTAATATTATACGGATGTTTTGGCCGAGCAAGACGCATTCTAGCAATGTAATCCATCGGTGAATTAATTGGAGTCTGAAAGTAATGTTCCAAAGTTAAATGAACTGAATCTGCTTCCATCATAGTATGGCCTTTTTCAAGATATAACTGCTGTATTATAAGGGATTTTTCTCTTGCCGAATCACTTAAAGCACTACCCAGAGTTCTTTTTCGATTTTGGAAGTTGCATCCATCTGAGATGAATACAAGAGTTTGATAGTTAGCAGGAATATTATTTATATAATCTATAAGACAAGATGTAAATTCATTGCTACTGACTCCACTATTTGCTTCATACCAAACGTACAACTGGACATCTTTATCATTTAGAGAATAAATGGTGAAGTTGTGTACTTGGAGTTTGAGCTTATAATACGATTGGAAAGCTAATACTTTTGGGCACGTTAAGAAACTTTGAATATCAACTGTGAGAACCAATTTTTCAGAATTTGCGCTATTTTTTAATAACTCTTTTGCTCGTCTTCCTTCTTTCTGCTTTGACATGTGCTGATCATAATCTTTAGTACTTATTGTCTTCATTTTATGTGCAACGCACGTATCACATTGATCTTTCCTTTGCTTATTATGTATGCCAATTTTCTCTGCTTCTAAAACAACTTTAAACAACTTAATATGAGCAACTGACTGCTTTCTATCATCGCACCATTCTTTATTTATAGTCTATACATGTTATTTGTTGTATACAGTATCATAACATGTTGACAACAGTATCATAACATGTATAGTCTATACATGTTATGATACTGTTGTCAACATATATTCTGCTAGTACATGCTCTACAATAGTGTGAAGGAACTTTAGGAATATCTTGCAACGATTCCATAACATTCTTTTCTTTGCAAATTTGTCTCATTTTTTTTGGAGTAATCTTGTTGAATGTTGGAATCTTGTAGACTTTCACTAGAAGTATCAATTTCATGAGTGGCTGGCTCCCTTGAGACCCATCGTTTCATTGTGTCTTCTCCTAAATTTAATGTGTTCAAAAACATAACTCGGCATACCTTGAGGTAACTTCCGTCTTTAGAAATAAAAAAAGTTACGAGCACTCTTCTTTTTGGACCGTTTGTCTGAATTTTGAGTATCTTTTCGGCGCCTTTGCACTGCTCTTGCCCGAACAAAATTTTTAACATAAGTGCTTTTATGTTCCCACGACGTAAATGTCCAAATTTTTTTAAAAATTCGTAGTCTATCGTCCTGCGTAATTAAAGAACATCTAAATGAGTGTTCTTTTAAACATTTTGGCGTTATAATATGGTTACATCACTCCTTAACTGACATGCCATTCCGTCTGGTAATATGTTGTACATCGCCAAAAAACAAATTTTGCCTTTTTCCTGTTCCAATATAGTAGTTGCAGGCAAACTGAAATAAGAAAAACAGTTATTACCTACTTAATTTAGGCAATAATGAGATGAAAGATATCTAACCGTAGTAGTGAATTTGTTTACATACCTGTTTTTGGATTTTTCATTATAAATTTCAATTTCTATAGGAGCAAAAGTTTGGATAGAATTTTGCGGATCTTCCTTAAGTGAATTTTTTACAACTAATTTAGTTCTTGTCTTGAAAACACTCATTTTGCACTGGTAAATAGCTTATTTGAAAAAATTTGAGGATAGGAATTTGGCAGATGAAAGTATGAAATACCTCCAATGTGCAGATATTATAATAGATAATAGCTCCAATGTGTTTTTTAAGCACATTGGATTTATTTCAGTCCAACAATTAATAATATGTTACATTGGAGTAATGCTTTTTTTATAAATTAGGGTAGTTAGGAATCGGTACGCACATTGGATATTTTTCTAGACTGTAAAACTATTCATAGCGATTCAGAACCGTTTAAAATCTGAATTACTAGAAATTTGCACATTGGAGGTATTTCATTCCTAACGACGATATATAGTTTCATCTTTTTATTGTAACCGATGGCTTCATTATTTGGATGTTAGCTAGTTCTTTCAAGGCACACTACTATATTTTCGGTTGTGGTTGTTTCTCAATCCGTTGTAGAATGTCATAATTTCACATGTGGCTTGCTTTCATAAATGTGTTTATTTGGAGTGCAGTGAGGTACGATTTTCGAGAGAATTGGTAAAAAAAGGAACCGACCTTTTTTAAAAAGAATTTGTTTTCATTTTTTCTCTTTTTTTCCTTTCCTCTTTTTTTTATTTTAAATGCAATGGAAAATGGACCAATTTGGAGTATTAGATAGAAACAAAATAGAAGAAGAATAGGGATATGAAGTTATTGTTCTGTATGGGGTTTTTTATTTGTTCTGTATGATGAGAGAGTGATATATGGCTTAGATTATCAATGTCGGTTATTTTATTTAGGCACACTGGATGTTTTAGAATTTGACACATTTCAAGGATGGATCGCTTATGGTAATTTTGTTGTTTGCACAGTATTTTGGTATTCGTGAACTCGATACTGTGTTTAGTTAAAATGGCATGTTGTGCAAGGGCACAAGACGTTTTGTGAGACGTTAGTCGACCTTGAAGAGAGCGGCTGGTCTGGTCAATGTAGCAGGAGTTGCACTCTGCACAGGGTATATGATAGATGGCGTTCGTTTGTTCTAGAGGGGCCAATGGAGTTTTTGTCTTTGAAAATAACTTTCCTAAGGTTCTGATGTTTCTTAAGGCTATTTCGACAAGTAAGAGAAATAAGTTTGAGGACGTTGTTGGGTATTTCTCTCGGACCAAAGTTCGGATTACAACTCTCATTCAAGGACTACTCTGTATGTAATTTCGTAGCTGACATAGAAAACATACGGTCTCAGTTCTGTTTTTGTTAGTTTACTGGACAAATAGTGTGACCTGTCATCATAGCCTTTTATATAGATAGATAGTAATATGAAAAATTGCTTTTAAGTATACGAAATTTATGACACATATTTTGTACTGACTCTTCAGGATCTCACAAGAGGTTTAATGGATGTTTATTTATGTTTTGTTTATATTTGACATTTTTTATTTTATTTTAAATATTTTAAAATTTAAATTTTTTATTATTTTGAAATATTTTATTTAAAATATATTAAAAATTAAATTGACTTCAATATTTATTAAAAAAACCGTGTGTGATATTCCACAGATGTTTGTTTCTTTTCCTTTAATATCACTCAGTATACAGTTTCTAATGAAAACACTGTATAATAATCTCCCATTGTAATCGTTAAAATATCCATACACCCCCACGGGAATTACGTCAAAACGATGCCCCATCACTCACAATCGATCTTCTCCAATTAATTACTTGATCCACGAGTTTTTTTCTGCCCCACCAACCTCAAGATCTATTACGTAAATTCCCACTCCACTGCTCGGCTCTGATAGCCCCCAAATTGCCGGAGAACACACACCACGGAGGAAATCGGACTCTCAGACATAGGCCTCTAATTGACTACATTACGAGTATAATAGGAAGCCTTCGACGAGAAAAAATGGGGATGGTTAAGGTATGAGTCGCCTAATTTATTACTTTCGCGAACGAAAATTATAGGGACGTTCAGAAATTTTGATTATTTTTTTCATTCTTGTATTTTCTTTGGGGGATAATTATTATACTTTTTGTGCCAAAATATACAAAGCCTGATTTATTATTTACATTGCTAATAAATTATATGAGTACTTTGCTAGCTACGAAAAAAATATGATCAATGGGAGAATTTAAAAAATTACCTTAAGAAACCCATTATTCTTAAGGTTGATCTTCACCCTCGATTAATTTGTTTCTGATTCTAAAGATGGCTCTACTGCGGCATGCTACTGTGGTAAATTTTTTAACTTAATTGTAGATTTCTACATGAGGACTCTGTAATATTTTCAAATCCTAACATAAATTGCAGTTTTCTGTCATTATATCAATTGGCTGAGTTGACAAGTTGTGTAGACAGTAATTTTATCAAATATGCTATAAGTTATATGGTTACTAGTAGACCAACTAAGCAAAGATATCTTATAACAACATCTTTGTGTATAATACTTTACTGTTCTGCTATGTCAGTCGGAATATAATATACCAAATTCATTCATTATCTAAACAATTTTACCGACAAAGAAATTATGTATGTTGCGGCTTTCTTTGTGAGTATAGTATTACCATTAAATTCGTACATCGTATTATATTACATTTTTGTTGATAGTTAAAAATTAAAAAATGATCTGGTATTATGATTATGTAATATTTTAGTGGGAAATGACAAAAATGTTATTTAAATCTGTTTATTATTATCTATTACTATCTGTCTTTATGGATTAATAAATTTTACTATGTCTTCTTCTTCGGTTATATTTATATTTCTAATTTCATGCTTCATTGTTTTGGCTTTATTGGTTTGTTTATTCTTATAATTTTTCTTTTAATAATTCTAACTTTTTCTTTATCTTTTTTCGTAAGACACATTACTTCCGCTCCTTATGCTATCATCGGTCTAATTGCTGCTCTATGTATTTTTGTCTTTGTTTTTTTTTTTGCTGTTTATTTTTTTATTTTTAAGTAGTGGGTGATATTTCCAAAACACCCCGTTCTTCTCCCGCCTTGTGTGCGTGGTGGTCATACGTTGGATGTATGATTTGGAGTGGTTGATGCGTATTTAGTTATTACGGTTCTATTTGGTTCGACGCTATATTGTCGACATAGTCTTGACTGACTTCATTCGAATGTTGCCCGTGCAGAAGTTTACCCATCCAGATGCGCATTTTTTCGTTCTTAGTAAGATGGTCTATGCGCATTTCTTGTTCCCTCAGGTCGATCGGTGTTGTGTCACCTACTGCGCAAATCGCGCGATGAAGAGTAGATGTCTCCGCCTGCACCTGAAAATAAGTTCTTAAATTAGTAATTTGTTTATCTAATTGCTCGCTTACATCAATAAGTCCTCGTCCTCCTAAATATCGTGGTAATGTTCTTTCTACTGCACTTCGAGGATGGATCAACTAAAAACAATTACGTAAGTACAAATATTTGTGCTTAAGCTCAAGTTACCTGCTACAAGAACTTAAGAAGAAATTTGAACTTAAGCGTGAATTGAAAATCAGTTTGTGTCATATATTGACATATAAGTGAGCACAAATTTCTTCTGTCAATGTAACGTTTAAATTTGAATTTTATATTTCTATTTTTTGTAAATCCTACCGTAATCTATAGTATAAACTAGGAATTATAGTTTATAGTGTATCATGATACTATAACAAAACATGTTGTTATAGTATCATGCACAAGACCCATCACCATTTAAAATAATATTAAAATGATATTAAAGACAATATCAAAAATGAACAACTGATCTTCTTTTTCTTCTCTTTTTGTTGTTTCTTCATTAATAACGGGTTAACAGGTTAAGAATTTTTGGCAATTTAGCAAAGTACATTTAAGATTATTTCGATGTCGACTAATAGTATAAGAAATAAAATTACTCATTTATAATATTTTTTGTAAAAGATTCCGCCAATGGGCAAAAAAACCGTTTTAATCAACTTAATAACATAATCCAGTCAGATCCTGCCCAGCTTTCGCCCGATATAAATAAACTGGTAGTCGATGGCAAAACGAAAAGCTATTTATATGTTGGGAATCGGGATGTATTGAAAAGCTCTCCAGGCTTTGGCTGTAGTTTCTAGCGAACATGGCGTTTTTACTGGGATCTGAATTTTTTAAAGACTGTACAATAGATAAAAGAACTGCTCATCTATTTAAAATCTCTACTGGAGCTTTATGGAGACATGAAATATTGATATTAGGAATTTACTTGCTTTTTAAAGTTAAGTAAGTCTAGAATTGACAAAAGGTATAGAAATTGGTTCTAAATAATGTAAAATAAAACCGGAATGTGTATATATCCGCACATTTCTTATTGTCTTTTGAAAAACAATATTATTTTCAGTTTTAGAATACTCAGAAACTTTAAAGATATTCAAA